TTATTAGGGTACACAATATTTTGGGGAACACAATACCACCACAAGACTCAGTCAGAACTCAAGAAGGAAACTGGAAATTCAAGACTTAAAGAGTGACAGCCATGTAACCACACATGTATTGAACACATACACTGATCCAGTCTGTTAGGTGGTAGAGAAAAAAACAAAACACAATTGTAACATAGTCCTTGAGTTGAAGTATTTTTCACTCTTATGAATAGATATCTTTATTCTACAAAACAATGTTCCAGATTGTGCATGCATGACAGAATGTTGTAGATGCGGTTATAGATTTACACACTATGGATTGGGACCCGAAAGAAAAACACAAGTCAGGCTACTCAGGAGGCTGTTGAGAAAAGCTTCAGAGAATGAAATGTTCAAGTTGCATTTTACTTTCAATATCACAATTTGTTTTTTCAAAATACAGTCTTCATATAGGCCATTGTCTTAGTTACTATTCTAGTGCTGTGAGGAGACACCATGGCCAAGGCAACTTCTAATAGGAAGCATTTAATTGGGGCTTGCTTATAGTTTTAGAGGGTTAGTTAGTCCATGACCATCACGTCAGGGAGCATAGTGGCAGGCAGGCATGGTGCCGGAACAGTAGCCGAGAGCACACATACCATTTGAAAGTTGCAGGTAGAGAGAGAGCAAGACTGGGCCTGGCTTGGGCTTTTGAAACCTTAAAACCTACCCTCAATGACACACCTCCTCCAAGGCTACACCTCTTAATCCTCTTGTTCCACCAATTGGGTACCAAGCATTTACATATATGAACCCATGGGGGCCATTCTCATTCAAACCACCATAGCCATGCTTAGAGAAATTCCAGTGGGATTTCTGGGGCTAGGAGCAAGCTTGGGCTAGGAGCAAGAACATGGGCTGGGTTTGGAGATCAGAAAAGGAAAACAGAGTAAGGACAAAAAACACCTACTGGATCTTTAATCACTGTCACCTTATAGACAATGGAAAGACCGCTGAGGAGTTACATGATTACCTTTGGGTTTACAGAATGTGTAGAGTGGTGAGGTACAGGACAGTGGTGAAATCCTTCCATATGGTTTGAACATAGGCCATAAATATGGGAGAGAAATGGTAGGGTAGACATCTGATGCATCCAGTCAGTTGTGAGAAGTTTTCTGTACTGTATCCACTGTCCAATACTGTGGACATATAAGGACGAATGTAGAATTATGCACAAATGAGCTTCTGAATTTGGGATGCTTATGGACATTCAGAAAGGTTGGGAGAGCAGTTGGGTAAACAGATCTGGGTTTCAGGAAACATCCTGATTTGCATGGTAGATAATGAGTTCTGGGGTCTGGGCTGCAGCTCAGTAGTAGAACATTTATTTAACAGGTCCAAGGTTGGGGGCTCAAATCATAGCACTCTAAGAATACACATAAAACCTAAAACCACACTATTCCTCAGTGCTAATCATTTCTCTCCTTTTGAGGTGGAGCATCTCTTATGGTTAGGTAACACTACCTGACAAATCCTGGCCAGTGGATTAAAGATTTAACTGTTAATGCATGACCTCTTCTGACTGTTCCCTTCATAGGGCTCTTATGGAGGCTGTGATGAGCTAGTGAGACTGACCTAGGTCTAAACGTAGATCTGAGTTCTCTACATGGAAGACAGTTTCTCTGGAGTCACCCAAGCCTACACAAGATTCTCTAAGCAAAATCCCAATTCTTCCATGTTAAGCTCCTTAAATTTGGGGAAATTTTGTACACTGGTCATCTTGATTACATTTGATGTAGACAAGCAAGTCATCTGTATACATGTGATAGAAACTGTGGGTCTGTGTACTATCACAGGTAGAAAATGAAGTACAATTCTGAGGATGGGACTTGGCGGAACTGCAGTAATTAGGAGATCAAGAACAGACAGTGGAGTTGGTTAAGGGAACTGAGAAAGTGATGGGAGAAATGGCATGAACAGCCAGGTACTTGAGGCCACAGGAGGGATGGAAGAAAAAGCAGTGGCCAAGTGTCAAATGTCACTTAAGAGGTCGAATGTGAGGACTGGAGAAAACAGATTGGATTTGGAATTAACACATCGTAATCTTTCTGGTCAGAGCATTGGTGTAAGAAGGTAGGGATATCAGGGTTTTTGCAGAAGATTTTGTATTTCTCCAGATACCGCTGTAATTCATCACAGGACATTCATGAGCCCCTGAGCTAGACTAAATCCATGCCATATGTATGTGCCTATCATCCAGTTTTTAAAGATTTTGCTTTAGGCTGTGTGTGGGTATGTGCACTTGAATGTGCCTGTGGAGGCCAGAGGCATTAGATACCCTGGAACTAGAGTTTACAGGTGGTTGTGAACTGCCCAATGTGTGAGTTAGGGACCAAATTTGGGTCTTCTGCAAGATCAGTGTGTGTGTTATTAATTACTGAGCCTGTTCTCCAACCCCACCATCCTCATTTTGACATCAGGAACACTTGCATGGTTCAATGTCTCAATTACTTATCCTTTAACCCCACTGTCTAGATTTCAACAAAAATTACTGGCAGAAGACTTCTGAACTATGAAACTGAATTCATACTTTCAGTTCTTTCTCAACCTGAAAATTTGCTTACTATTGACTTTTTCTACACAAAGTGCTCCATTCTACTTTCTGACTCCAAAATCCTGTTTTTCTCTGCCATTCCTGATCAACTTCTTTGAACACTGGTATTCTTTTATAGTTCTTTATTCAGTATTATGCTCTCTCCTGAAACATCCCATAATCAAGATATGAATTAGTTCAATGCCATCTCTAAAACTTTGCAACATATATGTATGTACATGTGGGTTTGTGTAGAGGTGAGAAGACAACCTCTGGTGTCTATCTTGCCTTGCATCTTGGTTGCTGCTGTGTATACCATCATGGGGTACAAGCTTCTGGGGATCCTCTTGTCTCTGCCTCTCATCTTCTTCACAGGAGTGCTGTGATTACAGATGTGTGCTTCTGCACCCAGCTCTTACATGGTTCTGGGCATCTGAAGTCAGGTCCTCATGAATGCATGGCAAGAACCTTTTACCCACTGAGCCACCTCCAGATGTCAAAGACAATTTTTAATCATATAATTCTTACTAATTAAATGAAGTGCTATTTCAGAGTATAAAACTTATAAATTCTGTTTCAAATGTTATTTTATTGCAAGATGGTATAACTTGTTACAAGTTTAAACCATAACTTGGTAATTTCTGTCAGGCAGCAAGTTGCTGCAAATTACTAATTCAAAAGTGATCACCAGACAACTCCAGATACACAGCAAGGATCAGAAATACCTGACTGGCCAATAGTGTTAAGTCACTAAATCAATCTCGATCATTTTTCAGGAAAGGTACACTGTAATTTCAATAGAGAGCAATACAGGAAGAGTTCTTCACATAGATTAGTTCCCATTTAAGTTAACTCTCTCTGGCCATCTCAACTGAGATAGATACATTCACATAACTGGCTGAGCTTGAGCCTTCTTTGCAAGCAGCTTTAGATCTGCAATGCACTTGGCAATGGCCTCCTTTTCCTGTGACAAGGAAAGAGAAATGTAGTTAGTTATCTCAAGAACATGTAAAGGGGGTATAATTCCTACTAGAACAGAACCTCAAGATTATTGATTAATGTGGAAAGCTTACTAAAAAAGTTTAGAAGAGAAATTAATTATTCAACATATTATTCAAGCAAATCCTGGGAGCTAAAATTCCCTGGCCCACAGCTTTTATGAGTAAAACCTACAAAGAATTTAAGGCCAGATATGCCAATAACACCTTTACCTGATGTTAGTTTGGGTAATCAAGAGCTCATTGAAAAAGACCAACCAACAAATACTAGTAATACAGAAATATTAATAATGAAAATAATTGGGGCTGAGAGATGGCTCAGCAGTCAAGTGCACTTCCTACTCTTCGAAAGGACTTGAATTTGGTTTTCAGCACCCACATCAGGTGGCTTACTGCCGTCTATAACTTCAGCTCCAGAGGATTTGAGGTTTCTGGCCTCCATAGGCACCTGCATTCATGTGTATGTACAAATACATGCACTCCTACTAAAAATACCTACTATAAATAAACCTTAAAAAAATAATTATCAGTCTCTTTCCTATACATCTTTGGGTATTTTCTAAGTTTTTAAAATAAGATAGTTATTACAATCTATCAAATTCTGACAGACCATGTTTTCTTCTTTTTCATCATCTTTAAAAAAAAAAGATTTATTTAATTTTATGTGTATGAGTGTTTTGTCACTGGGGTAGACTTTAAGGTTTCAAAAGCTCATGCCAGGACCAGTCTTGTTCTTGTGGGTCAGATATAAGCTCTGTTACTGCTTGGTACCATGCCTGCCTGTTGCCCGCCATGATGTCATGGACTCTGCTACCCTCTGGAACCATGAGCCCCAAACAATCTTTCTTTTCTAAGTTGGCTTGGTCATGGTACTTTGTCAAAGTAGTAGAAAAATAACTAAGACAACAGGCAAAGACACTTGCCTCCAAACCTGAAAACCTCCTGAGTGCCATCCCAGGGAACTGCATGGTAGAGGGAAAGAACTGTCCTGCCCTGTCCCCCCAACCCCCCACCTCAAGTTATCCTCTGATATCTACATGGGTGTCATGGCATCAGTATGCGTGCGCACCCCTCCCCGCCACTAAACAGCCAATTATTGTC